ATTGCCGAGATTATAAACAAACAAAAATCTCAAGCAGATCGATGTTTTCTTTTTTTTTTTCACCGCTCATAACCAGCATCACAATTTAATGTATTAGCGTATCAAAATTGTGGAATATCTGATGAGATGAAAATTAGATTGTAACAGGTGTTTTATTATGTTCTAGAACAATGCATGTTCATGTTCCACGCGGAAGTATGGGGTTCCTCGGAGCGGTAGGGGGGGGGGGGTGATGGGGCGCCGGCTGATTTTATTTTTAGCCCAGCTTAAATTACAATAGCTTATTACGAACCCCACCTCCCTCCTCACAATTTATTTAAAATCCAACTTCTTCAACGGGTATGTTAATTATCATCATCATCATCATCATCATCATCATCATCATCATCATCATCATCACCATCATCATCAACATCATCATCATCATCATCATCATCATCATCAACATCAACATCAACATCATCATCATCATCATCATCATCATCATCGTTATCATCATCATCGTCATCATTCTCGTTTGCCACTTCTGAAGCTTAGGATCGCTACCACATCTCTTCATCGAACTCGGTTCTGGGCGATTCCTCCAAGTTTGGGCCACGACATTCCGGCTTCTTCTGCTTCACTGACAATTGATCTTTTCCAATTTGCTTTGGCCTACCTTCTTTCCACTTTCCTTGGGGGATTCCAATCTAGTGCCTGTCTTGTGATGTTGCTGGTTGGTCTATAACTGACCACTCATCACGTACCACATACCACTGATGGTACTCAATCTCCACCCACTACACACCACTCAAAACTTACCACACACCATTCACTACATACCACCAATCACCACCCACCACACACTACACACCACTCAAAATTTACCACACACCATTCACTACATACCACCAATCACCACCCACCACACACTACACACCACTCAAAACTTACCACACACAACTCACTACATACCACCAATCACCACCCACCACCCACCACACTCACCCCACCCCATATCATATACATGTTTTCTATTTACGTGTATATTCTAGCAACGTTAGCTTTAACACGTTTTAAATTTATGAGAAATAATGTTTTAAATAGAAACTACATTTTAAGCAACTGTTTTATAATAATTTACTTCAAGTGAAGTTTTCCTTTTTTTACTATACTTTTTGTATTTTGTAACTTTAATCTTTCAATGTAATCAATTTAAATAGCTAATTTGCGTTTAAAGTAATCGATATTTTTTCATTATTTTTCAAAACTCTGAATTCGATTTTTTTTTTGTAAAAAAAAAACAAACAGAAAAATACCGCTGTGTTTCTATATAAAAATAAGTCGAACAATTTAAGCACAGATTGCAATAAAACCTGGCAACCGGAACTGCCTCTAGCTTCTGTAACCAATCAATAAGTGTCGTGGTTGGCGTCTGCCCGCGATGGTCTAGTTTAGATGTAAACACACGATCAGTCGCTGCGGCGTTGAGGTAGCGATCACAGTGTGAGAGAGATACGGACAGGCCAGGTAAGGATAGAGTTCTCCCGCATTCTAGTGCATTGTGTTTGTCTATTTGATTGTAGTTTTTTAACTAGTGCATTGTGTGTTTGTCTATTTGATTGTAGTTTTTAGCGCAATTTCCATTCTGGAGAATTGCGTTTATTAACTCGTCTTTTCTGGGAATGTATGAATGGATGGATGGATGGATGGATGGATGTGTGTCCGCAGCTTTAAGTCGTATCTCCTCCTCAACGGAGCAATATCGATGACTAGTTCCAAAAGTAATTATGTTAAGCAAGTTACGAGGATGAACATAGGCCATAAAAATTCCGGGTTTCTTTCATGGATTTCCCGGAAAAGCCAAAAAACCTCGAAAAAAAGCAGTTTTTGGCCCATATCTCGGCAACCAGACCACTTAGCGACTTGAAACATTTACCAATCGATTCCTGCCATAACTTAGAACAATATTGCCGAAGAAAGTTTTAAAAAATATCCTTTCGTTCGGTCACAAAAAAATTTTTTAATTAATTAAAATTTGGACCGAATTAGTAGGCATTTTTTCCAACCACACCACACGCGTCATCACGTTCAATAGCTGCGCCATCGCGCTCAATGGCTGCGTCATCACGTTCAGTAGCTAGGCGCGCAATGGTTTTTAGTCATGTAACTCTATTGTAAATAAAACATGTATTTTAACCAATGGTTTTACTAACCCTGCTCTTGATTTACGCTACGACAGAGCTATTTTTAGATAACATAAGGAAATTGCGCTAAAATTGTCACTAGACTTTTTAATTACCTTGTTTTTTAACTAGTGCATTGTGTGTTTGTCTATTTCATTGTAATTTTTTTTTAACTAGTGCATTGTGTGTTTGTCTATTTCATTGTAATTTTTTTTTAACTAGTGCATTGTGTGTTTGTCTATTTCATTGTAATTTTTAAACTAGTGTGTTTTGTGTTAGTCTATTTCATTAATTTTTAAACTAGTGCATGGTGTAGGGCCCTATTTGTCTATTTCATTGTAAATTTTAAACTAGTGCATTGTGTGTGTCTATTATAATTTTTAAACTAGTATGTTTGTCTAATTTATTCTAATTTTTTAATTAGTGCATTGTGCGCTTGTCTAATTTAATGTAATTATTTCATTAGTTTAGTCATCGCGAGATTGAGTGGTATGTTTAAAAATGTCTAATCAGGTAAAAACGCATTTAGAGTTAGTATGATATTTTTTTAGGAGTGAAATCGCCGGTAAGAAGATTCATGTATCTTGTTTGATGCATGTGTTTGAGTACAATATTAGACACTTCTGACAAGGTGTGTTAGGTTGTTAGTAGCCTGTAATGAGAGTTATGGTCAGACGTTAGGTTTAATGTTATGATCAGTTCTGACGTCAAGCACACCTGCTGAGCATGACGTGACAAGTACCTGCTGAGCATGACATCATAGGTATGCCTTATGCATTAGTTTTACTCTTCACAAATACCCGTCAATGAGGTTACGTCTTTACCTAAAGCCAGACATTTTCTCTTCAAGAATCTCCTACCACCCACTATAAAGAGTGTCTATTTTTTCTTGCTAACCCTTTTCAGCCAAGACCCCGCCTAAATTCAGAAGACTTTGAAATAAAAATAATATCTTGTTAACACAAAACGAGATTACTAATATATTCCCTGTACACATAAAAACAAAATTCCTATCTAGTTAACCCTTTTTAACCTAAAACCACAAGTATATTCCATACACACATTGAATCAAAACTCCTGCCTAGTTAACCCTTTCAACCTAAAACTACCAGCATATTCTGCGCATATGAAAACAAAAACACCTGCCTAGTTAACCATTTTCAACCTAAAACGACCAGTATATTCCATGCACACATTGACACAAAACTCCTGCCTAGTTAACCCTTTTCTAACTTTTTCTAACTACCAGCATATTCTGCACACATTAAAACAAAACTTCTATCTAGTTAACCCTTTTCAACCTAAAACCACCAGTATATTATGAGCACACATTGTAACTTATATCATATCTAGTATTTGGTTATCACATGGTAACATATGCTATCGAATTTTGTCTCGACTATTTAATTGACTACAGAGATGTATCTATCTGGTGCATAGCATTAAGTTTAACGTAACCCGAACAAAAAAAAAAGGGGGGGGGGAAGTAAATTTATAAACCTCCTGAGATGGAAGTGGTCGGGTCGTTTTTTTTTTCTTTTTACCTGGCGAGTGTGAGCACTTTATTGGCTTACCTGTGTGTGTCGCTGTGTGTATGTGTGTGCGGAGCTCGATAGACTTGCGAAACGAGAGAACACATGACGGCTGTATCTAAATGGTGTCAGCGTTCGATTTTTTAAATTATGGTAATGAGGAAACTTGATCTATAAAATATACTTGACATCAATGAATACAGCTTATTCATGACTTTTTTTTAAGGTTAGCTGAACGCAGGCGAAGTGTATGTGCACCTTCGTCCAAAGCTTACGAAGAATTGTGTAAAAGTTAAGTAAATATTTCTCTTTAGACCTAGCGAGCCATTGTGCAGATGAAGTAGAGTTTATGTTTCTTGACCTTAGCATATGAAGGGGAGTTGTAGTCAGCACTATCCCAGCCGCATTTACTTTCCATAACGTGAGTTAGGTACCCATCAGAGTTGGGTGGATTCGGGGACTTTCTAATGACTTGAACAAGGATCCGAACTCGAGACTCTCGGGTTAGCAGTCTAGCTCTCTACCGCTAGGCCACGCTGTTCCATTTTATTTTGGAATGGCAAAGGCGATTCCTGGACGATTCTGACGATCACATGTCTATTATGGCGATCGCTGGATGTGTACGACTATGGCGATCTATGTACAGTTCTGGCGATCGCTCCATGGTTCTGTCAATCGCTGGACGTGTACGACTATGGCGATCTCTGTTCGGCGCTGGCGATGTCTGAGAAAAGACCGCAGTCGTTGTTCCGTGAACCCACAATCACGCTTTGAAGACGATCCTCCACCGACGTTCACCCGACCATTGTGAACGGTTGGCGGGGGAAGCATTGTGTGACCGCGGCATTGCGGCTAATTCCAGCCCTCTCCTAGTTTTTTTTTTTGGTCTCTTCTGCAGTTCCAGCTCGCTCGGTATGTGGAGAGTTCTAATCATCTGCTAGGCTTGGGCGATTCCCATAAACACACGATCGATTTTTTTTTCTCGCTTCCTCTTTCACGCTGACTGCAAATATTTTTCTGTCCTCAGAAACAGGGATTCGGTCATTCTGTGACTAGGATAGTTAAGCTACAGTTGCTGGGGTGCCATACCGCGACAGTAAAGAGGACCATTCAGCGAGAGTAAAGAGGGCCATACAGTGAATGTGAAGTGAGGGCCATTCAACAACAGTGAAGAGGGCCATTAATCAAGGACTGGGCCATTCAGCAACAAGGACTTGGCCATTCAGCAACAGTGAAGAGGGCCATTCATCAACAAGGACTGGGCCATTCATCAACTGTGATTTAAGCCATTCATAAACAGTAATATAAGCCATTCATCAAGATTGTCTTAGGCCATTCAACAACAGTGATTTAGGCCACTCAACAGCACCTACTTGGGCCATTCAACAACTGCCTCTGCAACTCAGAACTCTCCCGTCATGGGGACTTGCTCATGTACCCTGCACTAACAGTACTCACACTCACCGCCTACAAGAAAACTCAGGTGTACTCACACACAGCCTAACCAAGATTATCTCACGCGCCGGGGGTTTAAACCACAGCCAAGTCTCTGACACTGGATTATCTGACTGAACAAAGAGCTTGTGGATTATCCCGCTCGGGCACTGGATTTTTCTCAACTCTAAGCGGATTAGGATTAGCGTGCGCTGTAAAATGGCCCAAAACGAAGGCACGTACATTCTCGGCAACAGCCACGTAAGTAAAAAAAGAATTTTTTATCTACTAAGTTAAAATTTAGCTGCATATTTATGTAATACAATATAGGATTACTGGTATTATAGAATCGATTTCAAAATTCACTTCCAATGATTATTTTTATACTAATTTTTATTACAAGTCCTTTTAAGTATTTAATAATTATATTATTAAAGATGCGTTGGAGGAAAATTGTTAAAAAAAGGTAAAGATAATTGTTTTTAAACTGTCTGATTTAAAACGCAAGTTGTCTAATAATCTCTCTATTCAATATAATTCTGTTTAGAACAGGCTTCTTGATGCATAACACGTCTAAGTTAAATTCAGTGCACATGTTTTTTATATGACGTCATTAGTCAATTACCACTCCGCACCCTTACACACATACACACACACATTCCTCGAGTTTTAGGTTAAAACATAAACACTGTGATTCGTTCTCAGTTTGGCAGAAGTTGATAAACGGGAATGTGGTAGTGACCCACGTTTAGCGTCGTCCCCCCCCCTACCCCCACCCCACAAGGTAATGAGTCCCCAAACTACTTTTAGCGTCCTCCATCCGCCCCTACTCCTACCCACCCCACAAGGTAATGAAGAGAGTAATCTACATTTAATAAGAGTCCGCTACCCCCCCCCCCCCCCCCCTACACCCACCCATCCCCGAGGAAATAAGAACCAACATCCGCCCCTAACCCCCACTCACGCAATAAGGCAATGACCCACTACTTGACCCCGCCCCCTTTTCCACATTGTTTGTTTACATTCCATTGAAAGGTCACCTCAAGCCATTACCGTTCAAGATGGCTTCACAAACAGCTCACAACACGCACGCGTGTTTAAATTAATCAGTGTGTTGTCTCGACGAGCGCTTCACGGCCGTTTGTTTCAAAACATGCCGAGGTCCCATCGATTACAGGCGCTAGTTAGTTAGGCTGGGGCTATTATAATTAATATGCACATGCGTAGCGACCCTTCCCGGCTCCCGGGGACAAACTTTTCGATTTGCACCCCCCCCCCCTCAAGATTTCGATTTTCACCCCCCCCCCCTCGAGATTTCGATTTGCACCCCCCTCAAACTTTCAATTTGCACCCCCCTCAACCTTTCAATTTATTTTTCCAACCCATTTTGGCGCCCCCTAAGGTCGGCGCCCGGGGACATATGTCCCCCCCCCCCCCTCGCTACGCTACTGTTAATATGTATTGCATAAAGAACCGCCTTTGTTATTCATTGTATGTTTTTGCCGCATCTCTACCCTGATCCAAACCACAACCCTTGGTTTAAACGTTATCCAATCTCTATTTTAAACCACTTATCTTAACCCAAACCCCTTATCCTAACCCAACACTCTTGTCATGATCCAGATCCCTTTCTGAACCAAACTCCTTACCCTAACCCAAAAACCATTATTCTAAGTTAAAAACCCTTATCCTAACCCAAAAACCCTTATCCTAACCCAAAAACCCTTATCCTAACTTATAAACCCTTATTTTAACCCAAAAGCTTTATCCTATCCTAAAATTTCTTATCCTAACCAAAAAAACCCTTATACTAACCTTTAAACCCTTACCTAAAAACTCTTATCCTAACATAAAAACTAGTATCCTAGCTCAAAACCTTTATCCTAACTGTAACCCCTATCCTAACCCCTTGTCCTACCTCAAACAGCTTACCCTAACCTAAACCCTCATCCTAACTATACAATAATGGCGTTTATAGTAGTAGCGAATATTATCCGTGGTTGTGAGTTTTAAAAATAATTAATCTCTACGTAAGGATAAGCTTTAGATTGACGTTTCTTTATCGATTATCTAACTTGAAACAGTGGTAAATAGGTGATCAATACTCAGCCAATAAACCTGTTGTACGTCTAATGTTTTTTATAACGTCTTTATAAAAACTTGCGGTAACATTTATAGCATGTTAATTCAGGGCGGTTTTGTTTAGTAGCGCCTGGCTCTAGGTTAAAATTTAGAAATATGACAGGGTTATAGAAACAGGTGAACTCTACGGGCAGTCAGGTTGGAGAGACTAGCAGATACAGATGAGGAAAGTTGGAGAGACTAGCCTGGATACACCTGGGGACAGTTGGAGAGACTAGCCTGGATACACCTGGGACAGTTGGATAGACTAGCCTGGATACACATGGAGACAGTTGGAGAGACAAGCCTGGATACACCTGGGGACAGTTGGAGAGACTAGTCTGGATACACCTGGGGACAGTTGGAGAGACTAGCCTGGATACACATGGAGACAGTTGGAGAGACAAGCCTGGATACACCTGGGGACAGTTGGATAGACTAGCCTGGATACACCTGGGGACAGTTGGAGAGACTAGCCTGGATACACATGGGGACAGTTGGAGAGACTAGCCTGGATACACATGGGGACAGTTGGAGAGACTAGCCTGGATACACATGGAGACAGTTGGATAGACTAGCCTGGATACACCTGGGGACAGTTGGAGAGACTAGTCTGGATACACCTGGGGGCAGTTGTAGAGACTAGCTTGGATACACATTGGGACAGTTGGAGAGACTAGTCTGGATACACCTGGGACAGTTGGAGAGACTAGTCTGGATACACCTGGGGACAGTTGGAGAGACTAGTCTGGATACACCTGGGACAGTTGGAGAGACTAGTCTGGATACACCTGGGGACAATTGGAGAGAATAGCCTGGATACACCTGGGGACAGTTGGAGAGACTAGTCTGGATACACCTGGGGACAGTTGGAGAGACTAGCCTGGATACACCTGGGGACAGTTGGAGAGACTAGTCTGGATACACCTGGGGACAGTTGGAGAGACTAGTCTGGATACACCTGGGGACAGTTGGAGAGAATAGCCTGGATACACCTGGGGACAGTTGGAGAGACTAGCCTGGATACACCTGGGGACAGTTGGAGAGACTAGCCTGGATACACCTGGGGACAGTTGGAGAGACTAGTCTGGATACACCTGGGGACAGTTGGAGAGACTAGCCTGGATACACATGGGGACAGACAGTTGGAGAGAATAGTCTGGATATACATGGGGACAGTTGGAGAGACTAGCCTGGATACACCTGGGGACAGTTGGAGAGACTAGCCCAGGACAGAGATGCCTCGAAAGCTCTTGGCAGCGGCATATGTCCTAGTAAGCAGAGCCACACAAACTAACCCAACCCACAAGAAAAAGAAAGTTTGAAAGAAACTTTTGTATTCCAATCTTCGCAGTAAAATTACATTTATTCGTGGCTTGCTTTTAACGAAATGAAAACACAATTAGCAGAAAACATAATTAAGGTAATTACCCGATCGATCGCTTCAAGAGGAGAATAAAGAGAGAGAGAGGGGGGGGGTAATTCTGAATTATTTGTAGCTGCGAGAAAACGCTCTCATTAAAATAAATACATCAATGACTGTAATAATAAAAAAAAATATGAGCGCGCTCGAATAAATTAACTCTCGCGTGTCTATCCAATACTGCACCATGTGTTGTAAGTAATGGCGACAGTAACAGAGCAATACAAGAAGGTATACGACAAAAAATAACCACATAAAACCATATCCAATCTTGACATGTTCATCGCTGGTGTAGCGAGAGGGCCAATAAATTTTTATTGGTTGATTATACATTCCCAGGCTTACTGCCTGTGTCCCCTTCTCTCTATCCCCCCTCCCCCCCCCCCCACGACAGTCGAATCGATATTGGTCCCGGGGTGAGTCAGGAAGCTGTGTTTGAGCCACTCGCGAGGGTTTGAGTGACGGGCGGATCCAGCCACCCATAAGGCCCCAGGTGACGGGTCTATCGAAAACTCCCAGAATGCCACGAGTGACCGCAGAAAAAAAAAAAGACCTCTCGAAGTGTCTTGATGAGCGAATTCAACATTCAATTATGTTGAGATATATAATCCCAGTTTCCCATTGAGGATTGAAGGGTAATTTAAATAAGTGAAATGTGACACACGGAGTAAATTAATCCTTCTACTGCATTATTTAACGTCAATCTAATTACCTACCTCAATACTCATATGTAAAAACATATAACCTAATATAAATATAATGCCCTTTATTAAAGTGAATCTGACAACCCTAATTTCCCAATTTCAAGATAATTTAAAACTTTCCGAAAACTCGTGTTGGGAAAATATAACCTCTCAGATGTTACATTCATGTTTAGTATATCTAACCTCACATAATGCCCCTTTTTGCTACATATCTTAACTCCCATTATGCTTCAGTGTGATGTATATCTAATCTCCCACAATGCCCCATTTTGATATTTATCTTAAATCCCATAATACTTAACTTTTTTGTATATATAACCTCCCATAATTTCTCCTTTTGCTATACATCTTAACTCCCATAATGCCTCCTTTTATTGCCCATCTTAACTTCAGTGTTGTCACTGAATTATTGTTACCCCCATAATCAGTGTTTCTTCCAGACTTTTTTCTCCGGGGCGGGGGGGGGGGGGGGGGGCACTTGATATTTTCGTGGGGGTGGGGGGCGGTCAACATTTTCCGGGGGGGGGGGGGTGGAATCTAGTAAAAGTATATGTTTACTATATAAATTCAATCTCGTTCGGGATGGGGGGGGGGGGGGGCTCCCCGAAGAGATGCCTGGAACAATTTCTGCCCATAATACCCACGGGCTACTTCCCCGGGTCCACCATCGAATATTGCTTCTCCCCTACCCTACTACTTCTCTCTCTATTACGTTTGTAACCAACTCTGAATTTATTTCGTGAATAACTCAACTGAACTGCTCTCCTCATAATGTGTGTACCTACCCACGTACAAGGGCGCTTGTTACACAATGGTAGTCATATACATAAACCTCCCGTAATTTCAACATTGAACGTTTTAAATACCCTTGTGTACACTCATTGCTAGGCTGCTAACCTGAAAGTCTCGAGTTCCTATCCGGGTCCAATTCAGTAGAATTTTCCGGAGTACACCCTGATAGGTACCCAACACATGTTAGGGAAAGTAAGGGCGACTGGGCATAGTGCGGACCA